TATATTATAATGTATACTTACATAGTTACATGTGTGGAACGGCTTGAATACGCTGGTATTCCCATCTTAAATGTAATAATATTGTGATATTGGTAAAATGTATAGATCGACAACCTGTTTTCACATGATATATTTATAAATTTAAAATCTATGCTCTTTGCAGTATAAAACTTGTTTTATTATTTATTTGGATGACCGTGAATTCATTTTGTGAAGGAAAATGATTACAAGACGTTGAACCACGAATTGTAATATTGTATTAATTTTGATCAATGTAAAATTATACACTAGTACTTACCAAATATAATCGAAACACCCCCTTTTTTTTGTTCTACGCATTCATCGTATAATCTTGAAATTCAAAAAATGATGAATATTTACGTACATTATATTGACGGATTATGTTTAATATTCATGAAGTTTGATTTGATCTACGTAATTCTCTATAATATATACTCTATAATAGCTATTATAATAGACTATTAGAATTGTTTTAGTTTGGTGTTCTAAATAAATTTAAAAATATTGTTATGGTATACATTTTTTTTTTTTTTGGAAAACATATTATAGATATAGAATCATTTACCATGTAATGTATACCTTGTTAAAAATAAAGCATTTATGAAATACATCGTACTATAATATCTTGATAATTTATATGATAGGTACTAAATATGGTCTGTTCATTGAATTATTATTTAAATCCCAACTAATTTGTCACATTAACATTCAAAATATGTATTTGCAATTGTATATTTATCAACTTGAACATTAATGATAATTGAATTGTTGAGAAACTATAATATGATATGCTCATTTAGTGAATAGTAAATTTAATAGGTATAAGATCTCACAAATTACGTGAACATTGTATAATTAATAATTATTTTATGATCAGCTGTGACCTATAATAGTAATTTATTAGGTGACTGTCAGTATGATAAATTAATTAAAGAATAAAACATAAGAGGTGCATCAAATGCAGGATGATTCATTTAAGTGGGCACAATAATTATCTCGAAAAGTATTGAATTTTTTTGAATTTTTTTTTTTAACTTTTAGGTTTATGTTTATTTTAATCTTTAATATCCGTAGTCTTATAATCAGGTTTTCTATCAAAAGTTTTTAAATTATTTATTATTACACAAAATCCTACTTTATTTAAGTGGCTTTATTTTGGTTATTATAATTAGATAAGGCATCTCTCCTTTGATGGTCTTACCCGATGTTTTACCTCAAAAGAATGAACGAATGAAAGGAATAAAATAATTTATACAGTATATACTTAGCGTTGAAATTCTATGTTATGTAATCATACGGTTTTTCTGAATACATATAAAAATCATCGTATTCAAATTGGAGAGATTCTAAAAGGGTGTTACGAATTCGTGGTGTAACTAAAATGACTCATTCAGTACAAAGGGTGATTGCAAGAAGTGTAATTTTTTTTTGTCCACGTACATACAGTATGCATAAACTAAAACATATACTAGGGTAGTAGGGATTCGCAGACAGTTTCCATGGCGACCACGCGTCTGTCTGTGACATTCTAGTATTAAAACTGAAAGGGAACCGACAATGGGGCCACCCGGCTGTCCTTTTATCAGATATAATAATCCTTTATTACCTTATGACTTCATAATACTGGGCAAGCAACAACCAATAAATTGGCTTCCGTTCGGTAGAACACACTGTAAAAATATAACGCATACCCTTTTCTTGGGAATACATATTTTTTTTTTAAAGAGGATTCTTTGGCAAATTCAGTGGCCCGGATTATTGGATTTGACATGGAAACATGCCCCGCAGGGATTTCATCTTTACCTCTGTTGAATTTAAAAAGTAATAACAGTTTAAAACTTTAGACACGTTTGTTTTTTTTCTTTAAACAATGAAAATCCTCTTGGGAGGAGTAGGCAATTAACACATTTATTTTTATTCAGGTGTATTTATTTCTTTTATTAAAAATAAATGATTACACTGACAGTCGTCTTAATGAAAATAAATGTGTTCGTTGATCACGTATACATTATTAGTTTATTACCCATTTTTTTTAAGAAATTAAACTAAATATAAATAAACAAAATTATATATAAATGTTTGTATCTATGCACATGTGTATTTATTTATTCAATATTCATACATATATGCATATATATATATTATACTCAACGTTTGCTCTAAATTTTAAAACAAACTATTATGAAAATATTAGTTAAAACAATATTGTGTCTAAAAATGTGTATTATTTTATCAATATCTAACTCTATTACAATAATTTTTTTTTTTTAATAACCCTTTAGTTATAAATTCCTGTCAATGAATTTCCCTTTAAAACGCACAGTTCAGAGAGGGGTTACAAAACTAATTATTTGCCTTCCGGAATGAAATTAATTGATATCTCTCTGAACCAGGTTTAATGCATCGGGTGCCGTTGGAATGATGATAATGTTAATATACTGACGCCCTCCATGAAAATAGCATTCCCGTCAATTATTCGTGGTGATGCTTTTCACACCATAGGTGTACTGGTTTACGTATATAATATATATATATATATATATATATATATATATGTAGTTATTATTTTAAACGTCACCCTTTATCTGATCATTTTAGTATTATGTCTATTCATTTCTAGGTGTTTAAAATACTATTACATTATTCATGATGAAATCTAAAATAGTTGATTTTAGGATAATGTGAATCCAATATTTAGAACATGATTTATAGAATACATATCTGAAATACCTCTCTGAAACTATAACATAAATTATTAAATACCGTTTTCGAATATTACATCTAAATTACAAACCCTTGTTGGTGGTGGAAATTGTACTGCTTACAATTATAATTTAGGTTGTTAAMACATAGATTTATTACACATTATATATATGAATATATATTTTGAGTTACGATAAAATATTACAATAGTTACACCTAACAATGCTTTGTGGATTCTGCATTTACTATAGATTTATATTTATTCTATAACGTGTATACAATTGGAAGTTCTTAGATCCGAATAATATATTTGTTTTATTAGGTATTATTATTTATATTATTGTCAGACGTGTGTAAGAAATAACAATAAAATTTAAATAACGTTAATAGCCAAGTCGTCGAAGCGAAATAAAAATCGAGTAAACATAATAATAAATAAAAATTCACCACTGATGTAAATGTGCTCTTATCAGTGAAACTGAAGTAGTATTCTAAATTATTTTTATTATTTTTTAGTTGGTAATAATTTTAAACGCACATAATATAATGGTTTACTATACTTCAATTAATTAATGAACTTATAGATCTATTATAAAAATAAAGCACGACTAGATAAATATTGTTTATGTATATTTTTTTTACAATATACATTATTATATAAATTGAAAATGTTTTGTTTGTTGTCATCTTTTGTGATTTAATAAATAATTATGTTCTCAAGAGTACATCAGTTCGTTACATCGGAACTATAAGAGCATCTGTGTAACGTGTAATCCGATTATTTTGTGTTACTGCTAACATCTGAAGATCACCATTGTTGGCTAAATATCATCTTCTACCCTCTTTAAAATCTATCGAACGCCCATGTCGGTCGATAAGAAGCTTTTTAAAGGGTTATAATCCATTCCATAATGCGAATCCAGTCTTTTATCTTCAGTATATAAGCCCCAACAGCCTTCGGGTAGTCGCGGAATATTCAAAATATATTTTCTACTTTATTCAGGTTAAATATATTTTAAAGCCATAATAGGTATCTTTAAGAGAAACTTTTTTTCACACACATCACTTAACTTGTATAATAATAAATACGTAAACACTGTTTTCTTTTGGTCTGCCGTTTTTCATTCTACGTATATAGATAATTGAAAAGTTGTTTGGTTTGATGTGGCGTCCCACACTTCCCACTCTTGTTGTCGCTCGAGTGCCATTATTACAAAACGTAGGAGACCCGAAGTGACTTGTGAGCGGCGATAAACAAAGAACGTTGTTTCTATTTGGGTTACCATTTCGTCCGTTGTCATACACACAGTTACGCACACACGCACACGCTAATTGTGCCTTCAGTTGAAAGGGTTGTCTGGTAATAAACCCCCGCCAAAAGGGCGGTCGAGGTTGCTTAATCCCTGCTTATCAAAACAGCACAGTGCAACGTTATTAATTGCATCTTGCTCTCCTTTATGAACGATTCTTATTTATTATATAATATATATTATGATAATTCATTAAATTTTCTTGATCAAAACGCATACAAACACTATTTTTGTTTAGAAACAGGGATTTAAAAAATAAAAATCATATTTATTATAATTTTTGAATTTAAAGTTATATGAGATAACCATAAAAGTCAGGCGTCTAATAATGTTGACGCCTGGCCTATGTAAAACGATAAAATCTAAATGGTTATTTGAGCAATTATATCCAGATACAAGCCCCCTCCCTTGGGATGTAGTGATATATAAATTGTGTGTGTCTGTGGTTGATATTTTTATATTTTAGGGGAATAATATTGCCCTAAGCTGAAATTGGGAAAACTTGTCAAAACTTTATCATATTATATTTTGTTAGTGAAACAATAATAATAACTTTGTTAAAATTAGATTACTATGTCATTATTTTTGTTTTTATAGTTTATGTGTTTATTTTATTGTTTATATTTATTAGATATATACAATTAAATTAAATCAAACTGTGTGAGCTACCTAGGAGTTATGACTTGAAAGATTTATGTTAAATTATTATGTAAAACTATATTTAGTCTATATTACTTAAGGTTAAAATGTATAGCACATGTATATTATAATATACAATATTCTTTTCATTCCCAATGTAGTAAAAGGAAGTTGAACCACAATTTTTGAAATTAATAAATTATAATATAGACACATAAATCTACTTCTATTTTATATTTACACGTTTATATATCATAAATAATTTAATAATTATATATAATATTTTAATATTAATTGTTATATTAATCTTGATTCTTTGTTTTTCAGAGGTGATGCGTTTCTTGAATCTTACATTGACGGTCTGGCAAGATCTCAGGGCCCCGTGGTCAGCGGGGCCGAGGACGAAGATCAAGATGGCAACTTGATCCGTGCTGAAGACAAGCAATATCAAGATGGTGAAGAATTTACCGATAGCCGAGAATTCAAGTTCAATAATTTGTCACAAGTGAGCTTTTTTATACGTTTAAAATAAACATTATCTATTTAACTAGATTAAACTCATAATAATAAATTCTAATACAAATATGATGGCGGTAAATCTTTTGTGTCGAGSAGTGAATAAGAGGGTTATTTTATGTGTGGTTGTAAATCGTATGATGTTCCCGCTTCAAAACAATTCGAAGACCATAAAGTAATTTGATGTCCGTTTTTGCTTATCCGTGAAAGCTATTAATGAAAAAGCTCGAGTCATAAATCGTCAGTCGTTTGTTATTAAGCTCTATAAACAAATGTATTGCCCGACAGTCACAAACATTGAACAGGATAAATACTTAAAGCCAATTGAACGCGTCATTAACCGTATAGCAATAAAATGATGGCAGTATTAAATAAAATTCTATAAGGGACAAGGGTTGTTCACTGTCGTCAGCTCACACATTTTGTTTGCTTTTAGTAATCTCTCACGCATTGTAACGATTTTAATACCTATAATTATTGCTTTAATAGCTTTAAAATCACATGCAATATTACACATAAACAATATAATATATAATTTATACGTATACACTACAGTATAGTGTACACATTTTATATATAGTGTATTTTATATTATATGGTTGGCGATAAGCAGGTTAACTTATTTTTAAAAATTATTTCCCGAATTAATACAATTATACATCATCTTAGCTTTTCCAATCATATCATTACTCAAAAATATGAACTATATTTTCTCTCTAGTTTACCGCCGGTATAGGACAAGATTTATTATTTTTTATGTAATTTTTATTTTGCTATACATTATGCAATAAAATTGAAAACTGTGGGCTAACGAAACGTTGAAACTTGTGCATAAATTATTTACCTTTACCACATGCATATATAATAACATAATATTATTATGTTTCAATAAATTTAAATAATCTCGACAGTTTTAGATATTATAATAATAGACACTTTTATATAACTATTTAAATTATGTTGAGTATATTTCATTTATGTATTTCTGAAAGCGTGTATTTATTATTTTGTTAATCATTAATGGTGCTTTTTAAGGAAATGTACTTAATATTATTATCATTTCAATTATATWGGCACGAAATAACTTTACTATAAAATAATAGTACCTACAGCATAGGCATGCTAAAGTAAGTTCCAAAAGGTATTGTTTTAAAAATTAAGTAGGCACGTATTTTGTCGTTTACCCAAAATCAGCATAGTGCACTATGCAATTAAACTTTATTCGAAGTTCTCTTGACTTGCCGTATATAACCACACAGGCAAAGCAGCTCAAAATGGATTTAATAATTTAATTATCTCTCCGTTGTGTATAATAATATACGAATTGGAGAGGGACCGCGCTCGCCCACTAGCATTTCATTTTCAAAAGCAATGCGCCTGTTTAAAACAAACCCTCGACGTTTATTTATTTTTTTCGGGCGGGTTTCGATAGAAGAGACATTTCTTCTGCCCAAAAAACTTGGGAGGCTTATTCTATAAAAACAAACCAAAACGCATTATTATTGTCGTGTCCCCCCTCCAGCATCGTTTGCGGTCCTATTGTTCTACACACGCCATTATAGTATTATGTGTGTACATAATATATATATATAAATATATGTCGCTCTATCGTACTCGACAAACGCGCTCCCCGTCTATGTAGTGACTGAACAACACCTGCTGAATACCAATGAGACGTTGTGTTCGCGTTATTCGATAATTTATCGATTTAGGTGAATATTTGATTCGTTCTCGGCTTATATATAATATTACGCATATATTCTTCTTTTTCCTCCTTATTTTTTTTTTTTTTTTATTCACGCTGCTCTTTTTCTTCCTTCCCCAGGTCCCGCGACGATATATAATTCGGAATTCCGATTATTATTACATTATTATTATTATTATTCGAATTCACGGTAGTCGCTCGAGGTGTCATTATGTATTATATTATTATTATATGCATCCTGTAAATCGAAATAAATGAAACCATTCCTAAAACGCGTATCGATTATAGTGGCAAACCGCTTCCGCGTACGCATTTATTGCAGAACGACCGTGTAAATGGTCGGAATATAATATTATTATTATTTTAGCCACATCGGTGTTTCTACGCCCAGCGGGTGGTCTGATACTTGTTGGCATATATTAAAGCACGTCATAATATCGTCCGTATCGAAGACTACCAATTTGAATTTTACCGCTCATTATTATTGTTTCCAACGGCCGTTGTGAATATCTAATGTGACTTAATTATGTGATATATTGTTTACTTAAGTTGTTAAGAATTCCCATTGAACTATTAAAATTAGTTAATATTACCTACTTGTGGTTTATAAGCTAAAAATATAAATATTTATAACTTTGTACTTTTAATTATTTTGAATATGACTAGGTAAATTGATACCAACACTATTGGTAAATTGTCCTTATAAAAAAATAATTTTATATAATTTTAATCTTAATTTATCAATAGTCATTATACTTATTATTATTATAATAATACAATATGAATGCTTTAAATATTACAATGATTTAATTTATTTAATTTCATCGTAAAAGTTCAAGTCGTGTCGTCTGGACATTAATTATCAATTATGTTGCAATGCGTAAAGTATTTATGCTATGTTAAACAAGTTAATAATATAAAAATATTGTTTTGTTAACCTTGATTTATAATTAAATAAACCACTCTCCTGTCTTTAGGTTTATTAAGTATATTATTATTATATTAAATGACCTGAAAAAGTTTAAAAGTTTATATTTTAAAACGGGTTGTTTCAACAAGTTTCTCTCATAGATCAATTAACAGATTTAGCATTCAAAATTGCATTTTAATTTGATTTCATTGACGAACGATTTCAAAAATCATCGTAGCGAATTCTACATGAAATATTTCCTATAGGTATAAGCCAAAATATAAAGTGTATAATTTAACAATATATTATCAACAAATCGAAAATAGATGGCTATCATAATATAGTTGAGTATACTGGACAAAAAATGTTTACCTAGTTCAGCGCTTTATATTATATATATTTTATAATACATAGAGGAGTAGATTATTGACTCGTTAAGCACAGTATCACTTCTATACAAAATTTAATACATCAGCATTTTATTTTCCAATATTCTTTAAATAAATAAGATAATACCTTATAAAACGATTTTAATTGTTAAACAGTTTTTATATTCATCTAATATTTTTTTTATTCTATAGTAAATCGATTAAGACCATCGATTTATTATTTCCTATTTATGGTTTATTCTATTTGAGCTAAATTATAATATTATACTATATGCAGCTATAATATAATCATCACAGAGATCCAACGTAGTTTTAATACTTCGCTTTTTGTTGTTTTGTCGACCATAGACGAAACACGTCAACAAAACTGATAATTAATTTTGTGTTTTGATTGATTGGATGCAACATCGCAGTCGTCATCGTTTTGGGTCCCACTCGGCTGTTTGTCTCGAGGGGACATTATCGAACTATATCCAGCACTACACGAAAGATGAAATTGTACGATTCGTCGTTATCTTTAACGCGGCAGACATCGCTTCACGACGTTGGTTATAATTGCAAAAAAAATATATTAAAAACTCATCACGAAGCAAAAAATACCTAGTATTTACTTTTCTATGTATTTATTAATGAAAAAAAAACGTTTTTGTTATTTTGCCGTCTTTAGCAATTTCTCTCAGACTTCTCTCCAACCGTATAAACTGCAACAATATATTATATATTATTCATATACTGCCGGAATGACGGTGTCACCGACTTCACTTCCCTCACGGTTTTTTTCTTGCTTTTCTTCTTCTTTGTTTTCTTTATTTGTTTACAGTAATACATTGTATAGTGTATATAATGTAAAACTTCATTTTATAGATCGGAACTCTATAGCCAATGAATTCTTATTTTTCCGCTTACACTTAAGTCTTACGGTCAAAACATACAAACACGGTGTGTGCTGTTAAATGTACAATTGCCAATAATATATATTTTATTTTTTCAAACAAGAAAATATTCGACCCCCGGGTTCTCACTGTACGTGTTCGTACATGTATTTATATAATATTATAACATATATTTATATAGGTACTGACGACGCTGCACGACAGCCCGCGGTCTCTGACTACACCATCCGGACCTCAGCTATATAACTGCACCACAGTCGGACAATGATCGATAACGGTGTATATTGGTTTAAAAATATCAAATATGTTTAATATTTGGCGAACGACCGAGCTTCATTCGTCAAAATGTATAATAGTGCCCAGCATTTTGCGGTTTGCCGATTTTCCTAACACGCGTGCATTAATTAGACGTGCATTTTGTGCCACTAAAACAACGGTGACTATAATATTCTATTAGCTAAGCCGTGTAGGCATACTTGTCGCGTTCCCCACAGGCATGTTGTCTGTACCGAAAAACCGCTACGACAATAGATAGTGACATTCTTTGTCCAGAGAAAAAAGTGTGGTTTTTAGACGAAACTATATTTTTTATTTTTTTTTTATTTTGAGGCTATGCTATTTTGTTACTTGTTTTGAATAACTATTTCGAAGGTATAATCACAATGGTTATTTTTTTGGTTCGTTATAAACGTGTTCTTTTTTAAGAAAATATGCTTACGTACTATGCTAAAGTACGTATGTATTTTATATATTTTAAAGAAAAGCTTAAGTTGTTGTGATTTACGTGAAAAAGTCGGCCAGAACGTTGTTATTAACACATTTTTTATTTAAAAAACTCGTACTCTCGTCCAGGTAAATAATAATAACTTTTAATTGGATTAGGTCAACTATAAATAATATAATTTAACGATTGAGATGTAGGTATATACGACGAATAATAATAATGTATACACCTACCTTGAAAGTTGAGAGCGTAACAATATTGTTATTTATAAAGTGATATTATATTGTATTATATATATTATTATTACTATGTGGAATATTTTAACTATAGAATAAATGATAACACAATGTAATTTAGTAAATATATAT